ATTTTAAATCCTAATCTTTCAAAATTGCTTTAATGTATTTCCATTGGCTGATCACAAATATTTTTATAAAAAAACTCCACGTCTATAAAGACAACCATTGACCTAATGAAACACTTCTACTTCTGATAGTCATAATTCCCTAAAGAAGAGATGACTTAGATTTTCATTTACATATTTCCAAGGAGAAATTATCTCTGTTTCAACCTCTCAGCCACTGCCTTTTCAGACACAAGCATTAGAAAGCTATCTGACAGTCTCTTTTCAAGCCGTTCTTTAACAGGAAGAGAGACTTGGTCCAAACGCCATCAAGATCAGGTACACGAGATCATAATACAGCCAGTAAATAAAGCCTCTATAAAGCGTGTCAAGGTGCTCTCCATCTGGGTCAGGCAGTTGGAGTGGGATCAATGTTAGATATAAGTAAATGAGAAGGCAGAAAAGGAGAATTGTGAGCTCTAAGCAAAGAAACCTATAATGCACTCCTTATAAAGCGCTGTAAATTTCACATTTATTTTATAAGTATGAGATAGATGGGTTATTTCTACATACAGAGGTGCCCAACTAAAATCAAGATAAGTGATATTAATGTCCTATGGTCAGTACTATTGAACCTCGAAAGCAATAAACTATGAGTCGATAAATATTACATTTGCAACATAGTTAACATTCTTCTACTGTCTCTGGCACTTATTACACATTGTAACCGCAAGTCTACAATACATTATTCATATTTGGGATGTCACTGAGTGATGGATTGCTGTAAGAGAGGCTGTCCTTTAAATAAATCAACAAATAAAAATGCAAATGTTAACATTTTCAGCCACAACTTTTTCCATCTTGAATGGGGAATGAAAATTTCACATTATATCGACAGCCAGCAGAGAGAACAATTAACAACCTACACTGTGAATAAGGGAGATTAATTCGCAAACGTCTGGTTTTATCACTTGCATATGGAACTATATTGGACTTTTTGTACTGCTAGCTCTCTCAGGGAATTGAAAAAACTTGTGTCTCCTATCATGCTCATCACCTAACTCACCACCCCACTGCAAACACTTAATTCCTTTAAATGTTTGTAAGTTAAGTCTGGAATGAAAGTTTTCTCCTCCTCTGCCTCCTTTGGAATATTGAATCATATCTGATACAAGGAAAAAAAAAATCTATTTCTTTATAAGTGCTTGCTTAGATTCTATAGGAGAAAGTTGTTCATAGTATCGTCTTAAGAGCAGCACCATATTTAAGCATCCAACACAGATCTGAAAGGCAACTACTGCCTAAGTAAGGCAAAAGCCTAAATCTCATCATTGCCATATTTCCTAAGTACTCAGCATAGCAGATCTACTCTATACTATTCCAATGTGCATTATTAAGTATTCAGCTCTGCACATTGTATTTTACATCAGATATTAATTTGCTTAAAAGTCCCTGAATACACATTCACCTGAGATGTGCTGGGCAATTGGGTAAATAGTTCTGTTTTTAAAATATCCCTAAACACAAATTTAGACAATACAATCTGTTTATAAAAACTCCAACAGGCCACTGTGGTCTAACGGATAATAATACAGCTAGAATGTGGTACTTATATTGCAGGAACTTTTAAATCACTTATTTTAATGGCTATAAGAAATTCCACTTCCAGACAATATATTCAGCAAGCATTAACGCTGTGATTTAAAACTGCCACAAGAAAACAGAGGCTTAATGCCGAAATCAGACTATTGCTCAATCCCTTAATTTATCTAACTATTCTTAAATTTACTTCTTAGATGCCCAAAGTAAAAAATGTTACAGGGGAATTATCTGTTTCCATGGCGAGCAGAACAACCTTTGCCTATGTCTTGTAAGCACTCGATTATCTGTGGCATTATAGGACTTAACCGTGGCAAACTCAACACTACAATGGTTTCTGTGTGGGGAGAGCCTGACAATTGCACTGGGGCTGTAATCAAATCAAACGGTCTTTCAGAAAGGCACAATTTACAACTTTTTTTTAAAGAAAGAATAGCTTAATACTTTGATTTAAAACAGTTCATTTCTGTTTTGCAACATAACACTTGTTTTGCTCAAATCAGTGCTTGATTATACCTGAGGTAAGATCCAGTTTCCGTAAAAACTTCTTCATTGCTAAATAAAAGCATATAAATGTCATTACTTCCCTTTTCAAGCTTCCTTCCAGCTCACAGGCAAAAAGTAGAGTCTTGCTTCTAGGCAAACTGCAGTTATGAAAAAAGACAACCCTGGTCATCAAAAAGGTAAGGCTTAGGACTGCCAGAAAGAACTGTGCTTTAGGGATAAAGAACAGAACTTACTCTTCCAAACTTGCCCTGGCCCCAACCTTGCTGTGATTTTTTTTCTAAATATATTGGCTTTGGTTTACATAAATAAGTACATGGAGTAGAAAAGCTTTCCAGATCTGCTGTGAACATAATTTCAAGGGCCTCATGCAGGTGTAGACACTTGGCTTAATAACACTCTACAGACAAACATGCAATGCTTGGCTGTAGTGTGAAAAGCAGCAATAGGCGTGCATAAAAGCCTGATAGGCAAACTCACTCACTATTAGCCTAACCTCAGTATGCCAGATAATGAAATGTTATTTTTCTTTTAGAAACAGCATTAAAATTGCCCTGTGAACAACCGTTCTGAGGGCCACAAGCTTGGTCCTTCTGCAGTTCTCACACTACAAATCTCAAAACACCCATCTTTACCTTCTCGGGACACATTCCTTGTCCTAGAGGCGATTCATTCAGCGAGAGAAGAAAGTAGCACTGCAGCGTTTCTTCCTGAAGCAGGAGGCAGCTTTAGCACACGCTTAAGCCTCCATTTGAGCCCTGCCAAGAAAGGCTATCAAGCCAACACATCTTTACCTGCCATGCCTGCTTAGCCGGTCAGCCCGCTGCAGAAGCTGAGCTAGCACCCTAATGCCTTGCGCTGGCAGGGAGCTTCTGTCACTTCCCAACACCTTCTCCCTGGCAGGCTTTTCACTGCTGCTACTGCAGAGTGCCAGGGTTTGTGCTAGTTAAAGCTGGCCCAAACATGAGTTGATTCTAGTCCTATAAATTTAAATAATCAAAAGTAATTATATTTACATGTACTACTGAATAAATAAATTTGCTCTTAGGCTAAGGCTTTGCGCTGCAAGTTTCAGTCCCATGCCAACTGTGGTGGTTAAGCTGTTATCATGGATTATAACAAACATGCTGACAAACCCTTAACGTTAGTGGCACAAAAGCAGCAATAACTCTCAATATTGATTAATTTAGTTAGTTAAACCTGCAGTCTAAGCTTATAACCATTCAGTGATAAATTGAGACTGACCTGCTGCTCAAGCAGGTTTTCTGATGAAGGATAGGATCAGCTTTAGGTCTCCACAGAAATACTTGTCCATTTACCATTTTCAATTAGAGAAGGCCATGAGTAAGGGAAAGCACAACATGGCTGCTTAAACTGGTCAATTATACTTACAGCACCAAGAGAGAAAGTGAGTGAGCACAGGAGAGATCATCCTAGAAATACAGGATTTTTCAAAATTTGTCATCAACTGGTAAAATAAACCTTTAAAGATGACAGCTAATCAGACTCTTTTTACTTATACCTTTATCTGATATGATTTCTAACAGTGCATTTCAACAACTGTTTTACTCCCCTCTGTGGAAAAGAATGGGCCATCAATCCTCTTGAACAAAATTCCTTTTCCTGAGCAGTTGTTGTATGATGTGAATAATTATCTTATATCTACTCCTCAGTGCTTGAATGGAATCTCAACTTATCACTATTAGACAGTATCAAACAATATCTAATACATACTCTTTATCCGATATTACTGATTTCCAAAGGTAACCCTTGCTTCCAAAAGAAATGCTTAGGCAATCCTGTAGTTTCTGTTTGTTTAAACATACAGTTACTTGTGGGAAATAGAGCCCAATCTATCTCAGTTCTTAAATCCTCCCAGAATTATCATCTTTTCCTTCAGAAGAAAAAAAAACGTGTTTCCATAGCAAGTAAGTACAAATTTGTCAATATTGATAGTGTTTTTTCACCTATTATATATCGCAAGTTCTCTCTGAAGATGGAAATAAAACTACCAGCTGCTGCCAAGAACACAGGGATGATATCAAGCATACATTTTCCTAGTCCACTGGGCCAAGAAAAGATTAAATCTGACTCAAGACCTCTCATTCTCCAAGAAACATTTAACTCTTCTCGTGAACTGTCGTATGTTTTAGTCACCCCACTGCACAAAGTCATCTAACTAATGGTGTAAAATACAGCAAATTCACACTTTAGTCTGCATTTACTCTGTTGGCTTAACTAAAGATTTTATTACTAGAAAACGTCTGAGAGGCTAAAGAAAAACAAGGACTGCATGTTGCCTTTTTAAGCCCTTATGACTAGAACTGTAATCCTGCCCAAAGTGGGAAAGTTGTTTTTAGACTCCTAAGTGTAACAACAATGCTGCTTTCTGTTTCTTCACTGGAGCAGAAGTGATAATGCTGCTTTTCCAGCGCATTTAGTGCAGATATATAGTATAAATCAGGAACTGCTGACTTAATGTGATTTTGTTGCTTGTCGTTAAACATAAAATAACTCTGGTACAAAACATTTAAAAAGAAATGTCATTTGATAAAATATGGGGGAAGATACAGGGGGATTAAAATCTTCAAGTGGATTTAAAATCTAACAGGAGTTAACACCATTCATTCAAATTATTTACAAATGTATTTAATGTGTCAGGACTTTGAACATAAAATACTTTCTCTTCAAAATCTAAGTAAAATTAAAATGTTAGAACTTGGCGTATTCCTGCTTTTCTTATTCTAACAAGCAACTTAAGGCTTACTATAAATGTCAAAAGCATATGGCAGTTTTTAGTTTATATTATCCAGCTTGTGCTAACATGAAATACTATAGAATTTCAGCCACTTTCCTGCATCTAGGGGATAGTGATGGTTGCATTTGTAGAATCTTAAACCAGAGATTACCCAGCAGCTTACCGTGAAGTGTCATGCTGGATCGGAGATGTGGCTGTGGTTACAAGCTCTTTATTGCTGCCTGTCAGCACAGGAGATGTGGCTGCATCCTTTCTAGGCCCGGAAGTTGTCCCTGTGAAAGGAATTGAAGACAACTAAGCCAAATATTAGAGGCTAGTAAGTTCTGGACAGCTATTACATGATTCCACATTATTACAGAACACCCTGCCCAAAAGTTATGCCGTTCTTCGGTGTGCTGTATGTACAGTGAGAGGGCAAAGAAGTCATTATCAGTTGACATTGCTGCGCATGGATCATGTAGAATCATATTTATATAATAAGCCATACATTACAGCCTTTACCTTACCATGTGACGTTTGACAGTCTCAGTTTCATAGCTATGTTTTAATTAGATAACTTGTATACAGATAGTCAGTGGTAAGTGGAATAGACAAGTTAGGAGTGATGCGATCTAGTGCATAAAAGCTTGTGTGTGCACGCTCCATTATCTATCCTAACTAGTACTGTCCAACATCACATAACTAAACAACGGTACATGTGCGGAAGGCTACAAGTCTCAGAAAAATTAAAAGTCAAATGAGTATGTAACTCTCTTTTGTCATGACTAAATATTTCTGGGCTCTCTGAACAGTAATGTTATCTACCATCCATGCTGAAATACAGAGTAATATATTAAAGTTGAAATTCCAGCATCACTGCAAAATTTCTACAGGTTTATGGATGTCCAAGAGACTAGCATTACTTAAAATACTGTGTTGATTTAAGATGTATAAAAAGTATATGCATATTATCGAGTAAAACCATATGTTCTAATGTGTTCTAGCAAGGCTACCAAAGGAATGGGTTCTTATTGCTCTAATGCATTGTGCTTCAGCATTACATAGCGAGAGCTCTCACCTAACAAATAGTTACCAGGAATATATGTTGATCGTGTGTCTCTGGTAACTTGGTAGTATGCTAATCCATGATGAGAAGAGCAGGTATGCATATAAAGACTAGAAGCCTCTTGCTTGGACATTTGGCTTTATGACTGAATATGAAATATTTAGAAATCATTTCACATGACAGTGGAATGAGGCAGCTGGATTTTAAGAAACTAACGCTGAAGTAATAAAAAGCTGGTGAGCATGGGAGAATATATTCAATTCCTCGTTTGAGAAAAGGCTGGCACACTGTCAACATACTGAATTCAAAGTAAAGTAGATATATTTCTCTGAAAAAGAAAATATATGGACTCAGAAGTGGCCAATACAGCCTCAAGGGGACTGTTCAAAGGCCCAAGTTTGAAAATATTACTAGGACTAGAAATGGAAAAAAAGAAAAGAAACTAAGTAGGAATATACTGAGGCTGTTAGGCTGCACAGAGATAAAACAGGAGTAGAAAGAAGTCCTGAATATAGTGAAAAGAAAACCTTTTAAAATACATCTCGAAAAGGCACATGAGTCTATTGAGGGAAAAAAACACCAAAGAGAAAGTAGGTCTATAAATAAATAAAGAAGATTAAATCAGTAATGATCCTAAAATGGCCAAGCTACTAATAATTTTAAAATACACTGAGAGAAAAAATAAGGAAAAGAATATCAGCAACTAAGAGGTAATAAAGACCTTGTACATGTATAATACCTGCTTGTATGAAGCTGATGAAAAGAAATTATCTGGGAAAAAAAGATACAAATTCTTCAGTCTGAAGGATATATATTTCAGGACTAAAGGGAATTAGCTAATGAATTTATGAAGTGACTGGTAATTATTTATGAAAAGTCATAGAGAACTGGGGTGATACAAATGACAGCAAATTAATTAGATCTGCAGGTGCTGGAAGACAGTATGAGATTGGAGAAGTTACAGATGATCTAGAGAGGCAAGAAACACAGGAAAAGAATAGACACGTTCTCTCTAGAAAAAGAAAGCTCATGCATGGTGCAAATAATAACTAAATACTGATATGAATGGAAAGTGAGAACCTGGGGTAGCAAAGAATAGCAAAAAATAAACAAGAGGTAAGCCTGTAGGGCAAGCTACCCACAAAGTGCATTACAGATGTTTTCTAAATGGTAATATTTGGAATACTATTTTCAATTTGGTGAGCTTGATATAAGAATGATTTAAACTAGTTCAAAGACTCATTTGAGAAAATTCAAATAACTATATATTTCTGCTTAACAAATAGAAAACTAAAGCATGAAGAAAGCAAGGGAAATAAAGCAGCCTACATTTTTGAAAGTGTAAATACTTCGAATGAAGAAAAACTGTTGAGGCTGGACAAAGCAGTAATGGGATGAAAGTAAGCAATGGAAAATCTAGGTTGATAATCATGAAAGAAATCTTCATGAATTGTATAATACTAATATTCATAATACTTAACATTTATATAGTACTTCACATCTTCAAAGCACTTCAGTAATATTAACTAATTGCTCTATTCGCTTGTAGGGAAGAGTCTTCCCTCAAGGGAAGAGGTTCCAGATCCTGAATTGCTAAGAAGCTACATTAGAAAATCTGCTGAAAAACAAACACTATAGAGAAAATTCAGCCCCTGGAAAAGTATGGATACTACGAGCTAAGAGTTCTTCCTTCTCTAGTTTTTTATTTTACATATGGAAAGGAAAGCTATGAATGTTAATACAATATAACGTAAAAGCTATTTCCCCTAAAGACACGTACAAGGAAAAATAGTTCCTTCTTCGTGTCAATACAGAAAGACTTTAGGAAGGGGATGAAGAGGAAGACTTCAAAAAGAAGCACAGGGAAGCAAAGTGCCCAATATTGCAGAACATAACAGACAGGATCTAGTTTAGTTTCCTAGCCCACAAGCAAAATTATTCAGGGTAGAGAGGAAGAGAAGTATACATTTCTGTACTCCAGTGCTTTTTAACTAGACAAGTTGCTAGATTTTAGTACAAATTGTCGTAGCTGCTGGTGACACCAATAAAAACAATTTACTGCTGAAAAGATTCAAGACTTGAGGATTGCTTCGTCTGCTTAAAGTTTTCCTGGTAAAACTAAAAAAGTTTAGCGACAAGACACAAACACCTTCTGCAGCACAGGAATAAAAATTAAGGATCAAACAGAAATAGGAAATGAAAAGCATCAGTGAAAGAATAAAAGCTGATTGTCAAAGCATGGCCAGTCCTGTAAGTTTATAGCCTGAAAAGGGAACGGAAGTGCACCTTCTGCTCCAACAGGTGATGGGACCGAGGTAATGATGTTGTTTTCCCCATTACTAAACACTTATAGGGAGAAGGGAAAGTGAATTTCTTAAGAAATTACCCCTTCCAAATTCACTGCACTTGGTATACTAAGCCATTTGGTGGGTAGTAGAGTTTTCCACCATTCCAGCATGGGCATGGCTTACTAATTACTCATTTTATTTTAAGAAAATCTAAGAGTACAAAGAGAGCAAAACAGGAAAACATCAAAATCTGATACAATGGCATATGTTGCTGTGGAGAAACACTTAGGAGTTGCAGGGTAGCCAGACATGCTGCTGCTTTCTGACTAGAAAGGCCACAGGAAAGTACATGGCTAAGTAATATCAAGTTGCATGTCTCAAGATGTCATCCTGTTGATTTCATTCCCTTCCTCACATTGCATGGCTTAGCTAGAGCTCAGTTAAACGCGTTTTCTACTGACCCAACAGGTACTGATCGCTGTCTGAGACAGGCTTTCAGGCTTGATGGTCCAGGCCTCGGATGCAGTAAGGCAAACCCCACAATTTTATGGGATTCACCAAAGAAAACAGTATTTGTTTTCCTGGTTTTATTTTTGCTAGAAGCTACATAATTGCTTCCTAATAAAAGAATAAATTCCGAAGCAGAATTTGAAGGAGGAATCGCAGTTCAGCAACAGAGAGTAAGATCTAGCAGAAATAAGGACAGAGACAGAAAATGTCCAGAACTAACCAGAATTAAGAAATTTGACATTGTGCTCTGGTGATCCCCAAAGATGGAAAAAACACTTTACAAGTATGCGTGTATACTTGTTAAAGGAGTCCAAACATATAACAGAGGGAAGCCAATTAAAAAGGTACTAAATACAGAAGACTTCAACTGCAGTGATTAGTGCTAGGTAATTTGCCCTGTGATAAATAAGCCATTCAAATCAGTAATAGACCTGAGGTTATTCCACAGCTTGAAAGCATTTCTCTGAACTTTATCTGGTATCATAGCAAGCGCCAATGTTTATAACTTAAATTTGGCCATGCTGCTCTATGTCTTCAAAGTTATCAATCCCAATAAGTGTTTGTAAAGATAACCACGTTCTTCAGACATCACGCTGACCACTGCAATCACTCGATCAGCATAGGTGCAGCTTGGTTGCTATGTGCAATAGCCAGGTGCAGCTCATAACTTCTTCTAAGTACTAAAATGAAATGAATAAATGAAGGAGAGTCCAGGTTCGATTTTTTTTCCAAATCTGTGGAAAATAAATTACTTTTTTGGGGACTATCCCTATCCAAGGAACAAAATCCATCATCCAACAACTGTGAAAAATCTCAATTTCATCACTACAGTATTGAGAAGGAGGGGGAGAAGGAAGAGGAAAAGAGAAGAAAAAAATAATGATAGCTGAAAAAAACATAAAAGAAAACCATCAGTGAAAATTGCCCCTGAAACTTTGCAGAATTGTAACGGCTTTCTCTCGCTTAAATTGATTGGTGTAGCAATGTTATAAAATGACTATTAGGATTCATTGTGCACAACAGAAAGTGTGAAATGTCAGCAGACTATACAGCAAAAGTAATGGGTCCTGAACCCCTGTTAGTCAAAAATGATTTTGTTTCAAATTAGAAATTGATTTTTTTGGACACAAGCCCTTTACAGGCTTCCAACTTTTGTAGCTGCGCCTTGGAAGAGATTAACCTCGGCCACTGTTTGGGTCCAGGCTGATGATACCCTTTTGAAAGTTTCTTCACAGGGACTGCTTTTTAATGTTGGTATGGTCTTAACCAATAACACAAGTTATTTGTTCCTTTGAGAACTGCACCACATTTCTTCTCATTTTGCCATTTTCTTTATTTTTATGCTGACATATACAGCAAACTGGTTGACAAGTTTAAAAAAGAAAGCAAGCTACTTCATAATTGAACCACAGATTATGTTCAAGGCTTGGCAGTGAAACATCCAAGCTGCTTTTGTTACCAACCCTTTCTCCTCCTAAGAAAGGCTGTTTTCTCTGCTCTTTAAGCGGAGGTGCAAAGCTAAGGGAAGGTTAGATTCTAGTTGTACAGATATCCCTGTGTGGCAAAATATCAGGTTGTAATGGTGGAGCCATTACTTGGGGAGGAAAAGAATGTGAAGAAGATTACACTCGAAGAACACAGCCCACTGCACTTATTCCCTGCTTGCTGGAAAAGGAAAAAAAAAATTGTTGAAGTAGCTTTTTGAGATTAAAGGGCTATTTCTTCCCTTCCATCAGGAACACCAACCAAGAAGATCACTTGTTATTTACAAGGCTTTCTACGCTATTACTTTAAACGTAGCTACCTTCTCTTGGGTTGTTTTAAGCAACTTGCAGTCCTCTCCCTTTAATCATGCATTTTGCTTATCCACTCCTGAAAACATAATGTATAGTTTCTAAATGCCATCAGCACACTCATGGAGGTGCAAAACAGTATGCTTCACCTTACCTTTCCTTGACCTGCTGGCTTCCCTCTTGGCCCGCATCAGAAGGGCTTGCCCATCTTCAACATTTGCACTAAAACCAACCGTCTTCTTCCCCGAATTGCTCTCGCCACTGCTCCCTGGTGGTTTGGAGACTTTGCTCACTGGTGGTGTCCTGGGAAAGTAATCTTCACATTTCGATACCGGTAAACTGGGTGGAAAGAAAGGTCACACACTATTACATGAGGCACTCACTGTTTTTACCATTACGCCTCGTCCTCTCGCTCACTCCCTCGCCAGCAGTGTAACCATTATACTTCCAGTTAAGTTTTTGCTGAATCCTTTCCTTGATGTTTGAATGCAGGATGCCTAAAGATGTTACTAACCTACTTTAAATGAAAGAGTCGATAGGATTCTTTGGTTATCAGTAAACGTATCCATTCTAGTTGCCTTTTCACTGCAGCTTTGCTAAACATTGGAAAGTATACATCTAATGTAATCTTGGATCATACATACGTAAGCTTATACAGGGAGACTGAACCAGAATTTATCTCCCTGATGACGAGTTAGACAGTTAGTGTACAGCTTATCTGAGGATACATGTTGTGGGCCACACTAAAGAAATTTTAGTCAATAGGAGCTTAATTAAGGAGGAGAGAAAGAAATGATGATTCAGTTTCTTATTACTAAACTTTAGAGGTATTTTGCACACAAGGTTCTCAGTTCTTTTGCCTGACTTATTGCTGCCATTCACATTGTCTGTGAAAGGAACACTCGCACTCAAAAAGCGAGATCCACACAGGCAAGAACAAGGAACAGCAAGGGTTGCAAGGATCTGGAAACAGGAGACAGGCCGACCCTGTGCAAAGAGGTAATGCCGAGGACTGCTTTCCTCAGTTCTGCCCTGTGGCAAGATTGTCTTGTTTCCATGTCGTAGTGCTCCAAATCCCAACTCCAGTCAACTTATCCATGCAAACACTAACAATATTTTGACAATTGTATTTGCAGTCTTGCGATAGCTGGCATATTTCCTAAAGCATTAGGTCCTGGATTTCCTGAGTGCTTCAGACAAGGCAACTGGGATCAAGACACAGAAAGGACTTTGTCCTGCATGGTGGAGCAAGCTTGGAAAAAAACAGCTATTAAAAAAAAAATGCTCACTTTTCTAGGAAAGAGGGAAAGCAGAGAAGAATTTGTGGGAAGAAAACTGGGGTCATGGTTTGCAAAAGGGAAGCAGATATACTGGGGAAAGAAAAGGGGATAAAGAAACAGAGGCACATGAAAGTGCGACAGAGACAGACACCAAAAAACTGGTGAGAGAGCATGTAGTGCAGCAAGTGCGACAGTCTGGATAGAGGGAAAAAAAGAGAGCTAACCAAAAGAGCAATGGAGAATGCGATCCAGTAAGAACACAGCCTCTGCAGGGCTAGGCATGATCTTAAACACCTTGCACAAATAAAGCCAGGATGCAAATTTGTTAACATGAAGCACGCATGACTGTAGTCACTGCAGACACGCACAATCACAGAAAAGCTTCAGAGGTTACAGAAATCATCTTTCTCTCCGTAAACTGCAGTACAAATTACAGAAAAGCTTTAAAAGTGTTGGGATCTCACAGAGGCTGCCGTCCACAGATGCACACAGGACTGTAACTATCTCTGCTGCCTTATCAACATACATTTTCGTTACAGCTTTGACTGCTAGGACAACCTACCACTTCCACATTCTGCTCTCAGGGAAAAGACTACCAGTTTAAATGAGGATGTCCAACAGGCATATGTCATTAGCCCCATCATTGCTATGGAGTAAATATATATATATATATGTGTGCATGTGCATATATAAGATACATGTATGCATTTGTATATATGTATATATAAAATAAAAATTTGGACGATTCACATGGAATGAATACAGTTCATCCCAGGATTATACTGTTCTATTTGCAACCATGGGAGTAACACACAGCTTTCTTAAGTTAATACCAGAGCATACAAATCTTTTTTCTGTGTAAGTACCTATTTTACATGGGCAACCCAAAGAGCACTAACATGTTTACATTATTTGCAATATAGTTTTATGGAGGCTGATTCACAAAATAAAGATGTAAATACCTTTTACATAAAAGATTACACTACTGAAGTTACTGTATATCTGAAAAAAGCAGATATCTGATCTTTCCATCAGAAAATGATAGCTGAATTAAAAGTTTCAAATCATTGTGCTGTATAAGTCATTGCTCACTAGGGCCCACTGCGCCTGTTCGACAATTAGCATTACTCCTGTATCATTAATGCAGAACATTACATAATGGCTCATGACCTGTAACAACTGGCTGAAGTGTTGGACAAAACTCTGAATAACCTCTGTTTACTTTAGAGCTTCAAACTGCATGGCTGCTAACAATGTTGCAAAGTGCTATTAAACTTTGTGATGGACAACATTAGTAACTTATTTGAATTATACGAAATTAACCTACTAATCCCTGAAACGCAGAGTATAGCAAGAGGTGGGTTTGAACCCTAACAACTGATTAAAGAGGCTCAAAGATGTACCAGTTGACCAGATTGCTATGATAATGCAAGACTGGATATTTTATTCTTCTGTTTCTGGATGATTAACAGCAATTAAAAATACTGAGGTAGCCATTATTCAGATGCTTTCTGAGTCTAAAGTACATTTAATTACAACCTACGGATCTTATGTGAAGACAGTGACCTTTGTCTTACAGAGGAGGAGGAGGCGTTTACTCCGCTGGTTCACTGTGATACCTTTTAGATGGTGAGGTTACCTCCAGAATACTGAGTTGTGGTTTAGATAACGCTATGCCAGAGGGAATTCAAAGAGAAACAGACACGAGGAGGAAGTTGGAGGAGCTAATTTATGAGGAAATAACACAAGCAAGCGTATGTGGCATTTATAGCTCACTAAGCAATGAATTAGAGCCTGGTTCTTCAGTATTTAATCCAGGAAAGCTCACTCTAAAGTTTTGCTCAAGTAAGGACAGAGAATCGAACCTAAAAATGACAATGTTAGTCTGAGAGGTGAACAAAACAAAGAGGGAAAAGGATAATGTAGAGACATCCAAAAAAAAAAAAAAAGACATCAATAATTAGCAATGCACCAAAACCAAGAAAAGAAAACATGAGGAAAAAGCTGCTTCAGAAAAAACTTATTCATCTATGTAATAATTAGTAAAACTAAAGACATGACTATTGCAATCTGGGAAATTTAAAACTAACAAAGTCTAGAAGGATCAGGCAGACAGACTAAGAGACCAGATAGGTCCTTCTCTATTTTCAAATTTAGCAATCCATCATATCACTCCAACATAGCTTTTGTAACATAATATCCGGCAGGAAGTGCTAGCTGATGAATTTTCATAATATTCCCTGAAATCACACAACAGAGAAGACAGGCTGAATAAAGACCTTAGAAACCTACCTAACCTACACATTAAGGCAAGAGCGGCAAAGTAGTATAGTCAGAAAAGAAGCAAGCCTCAGCATCACTGGATCCTTACGAATACCGAAATACTTCAGCAACAAAGGAAAACACACCTTAAACATTTTGCCATTTTGTCTATGCCTCATATCGCGATATCCCTGCTGAGCTTGAATGGCAAATTTTAAATGTCATTCAGGACCCATGGAACACTGCTAGTATTTGCATTCCTTAAAAAGTAGAAAAACATTAACCTTTTGTTTTATTGAATTAAAATGCCATGGAAATGCTGATGTAGTCTTCAGAGACTGAAATACTTTTACAAAGAAGAATAGCTGTCATTTATTAGACACAAAGAACAATTACTTGATAGGATGCTTTCTGACAAAAAGCAGATTGGTATTCTCATCATAGAAAAGGCATTGTAAAAAAACCCAGCACAGACCTCTGAGACTTGAATAATTTAAAGCTGCATTTGGTGCAATTTGAATTTTTCTTTAGGGAGGCAAAGTTAAATACCTTTAATTTGTTCTAATTATTTCAAATTTGCAAGTTAATTATGGCTGATCATTAAATAACAAAAAGGACTATCGTCTCCATAGAGTTTTACCTCCTACCCTCTGCATTACTTAAGCTAGATTTTAGTATGCATGAATTAACTTTCTAAATAATCACACGGTTTGACTAAATGGCTCAGTAAAATGAGCTCTGATCCTCAGAATAAGCATTAATGGACATTAGAAAGGCTACTGGGACCCATGTTACTTACATTATAAGTATTTTTAATGGGGTCTTATTTACTAATCTTTATGTACTGTTCAAGTTAGGGCACCATACAGATACATTATTCTGCTTTAATAGAGGAAAGTCAGTTCTTCAAGATACTAAAACACATGTCCATTTAGAGCTAACTAAATTCATTTTTAAATTAATGCAGGAAAACTCTGACAGAATTTAACTTGCTTTATCTGCTCATCCTGATGAATCAATCCAGCATAATGGTAGCCTTGGTCTGCAAATGGAGTTTTACAGATCTACTGATATGCTAAGCTACTCAAGCAGCTAAGACTCTTGCCACACAGTAGTATATACTATCAAGGCGCGTATACCTAAAAGGTTTAATCTCTTTCTTACTCCATACCTAATGCTCCCAGTCATTGATTCTAAACTTGGATCCCCACCTTTCACTGAACTCTGATCTTTCCATGCATTTTTCAGTGTAGATCAGTAGTATCCAGAGAACATGACTACACTATAACTAGTCAGAAATCCAAGATGCGAGGCAACTCATGCCTCCAGTATGTATGTTCAACAGATGGCTGTCTTAATGGTACCCTGCTGCACCCTGTTGAGACAAGGGCTTGAGAGTTTTACCGTTATCAAACTAACAGATTGCCTTGATAGGTTAGCTCCAAAAAACAAACATGTTGGAATGCTATTTTCCTGTTTTGCAATTTCTGTTTTAAAAATAAAATAATTAACAGTTCATGCGTGCAATCTGCTGCAATTATATCAGGCCAAAAATGCATAACACTTAATGATGCAAAACTTGTGATAAGTAGGCCACCTAAACAATACGTTTTTGTAGCTGGAGTCGCTTTCGCCGTTTCAGGTGCAGTGTGACAAGCTGGCTGAAAACTACAATTTCTTTTCTCTTTTGGGCTGGCAGATTTTTAAGCCAGATCAGTTTTCAGAGCCAGCTCACTGTAAAGCAGCAGTATCGCAAGTGCTGGAACAATGGAGGAAGTGTCAATACATGATAGGATC